AAGAACTTAGCCAAAGCTAAGTCGGACTCAGGTGTTCTTGTGCATAATGAAAGGAAATTCTCGGTATGGTCAGCACAAGAGCAATGCCCCTGGTTGCCAGGGTAGACCATCCGAGGGGCTGCTGAAAAAACAGCAATCATCATCGTCCAATTAAACCCGCCCACCAGCAATTCAATTGACATCTTTCCATCTCGAAATTTTCTTGTCAACAGCATACTTGATTTTTGCAATAACTGTAGCATAACAGTCATAAATTCCCCCAAAAATACGATCATTACGAGCCCTCCAAATGAAATAAATAGTAGCACCGCAGATAACAGTTTGAGATTAATACGATTTTTTCCAAAACCCTGCTCAAAAACACTGTCAAATGCCTGAAAAAGATTGGGTTTCATTAACCAGCTACTAAGCCAAGGCAAAAAATACTGGATTATCTTGAAAGTGAAACTGCACTCAAAGAAGAGGTGCCCAGTGCTATCTTGCTCAGAATGGCAAAAACAACAAGAATTAGCAACCATAATGCCACGAATATTCAAATTCTCAGCAGTCTTAAGCCCATTTTTAAAAGCCAACCACGCATAAGCCGAGAACTTCAAAGAGCATTTTTTGTGCCAGATCAACTTATGCCATTGAACGGTGGGATAATTAGCAAAAAGTTGCAGTTTGTATGTCTTGGCAGTGGGGAGAGAATTACCCAGCCAAGTATGACAATCATTCTCATTAATCACAACAGCAAAAATCTTAGCAGCAATATCATTCCCAAAAACAACAGGAACAGCCCAAATGCCATCCTCGATAATTTTATGCACCGCCCAGTTGGAGTAATTGCTCAGCCAAGTAATATCCAGATTATTGCTATCAAACCAGTTAGCAATAGAGTAGCCATTGATCTAGGGGTCCCAAAGAAGAGAAAGAAAGCTATTGTAGCCCACATTCAAAGAAATACAATGCTTAACTCTAAGAGCCGTTTCATGTAAAAATTTCCAATAGGGAGAAGTGGGACCAGTTAAAGGTTTCCAGAGAGAGAGATAATTCGCCCTCCACCAGGAGAAAAGGGGGCTGTTAGAGTGAAGAAACCTCCAAATGATAGCACATCCAAAAGAATGATACAAAGTGTTAATGGATTGAATTCCCAAACCACCGTTCTGTAAAGGAATACAAGTATCCTTCCAAGAAATGATGTGAAGCTTCCTTAATTCAGTGTTGCCAAAATACAAAAACCTGGAACATAAACGGTTTATAATCTTACAGCAGCCTTTAGGTATTATCGAACCCCGGATCCAATAAGCTATGGTATTGCTAATAGTGAATTTAAGAAGTTGAATTCTCCCAGCAAAGGATAAGGTTTTAGCAGTCCACTCATTCAACTGAGTAGTGATTTTCTGGATAAGAGGATTGAAATCCCTGTTTCTAAGCTTTCTGTGAAAGATGGGAAGGCCAAGGTGAATGATAGGGGAATTGGATTGTTTAATGTTGAGGATGTCACAAATGGCTGGGGCTTGCGGGCAATTATTGGAGAACATGATTATGCTTTTAAGAGGGTTAATACATAGCCCCGAGTAGTCACCAAATTCCTTAAAAACTTTGTTAAGAGTTGTAGCATTCTCAGCAGAAGCCAAACCAAACACCAACAAATCGTCCGCAAACAACAGATGAGAAACCTTACAGTTACCAGAGGAAACAGCAGTAAAGGTTGAGTTAGAGATAACCTCTTCAATGGAGTTGGATAGAGCATCCATCACAATACCAGACTAGTATATTTCACAACGGTGTAGGCAAAGACCGTTGAACAACTTTACATCATACTATTCTTTTTGGTTGTTTTACTCCATCTATTCTTCTTTTTCATTATATATTTCACTCCATTGATCAAAATTAGCTCAGAGACTCCCACTACAACCATTTTCTCCATTCTTAATTCAATAATAACTTTAATCTAAATGATTTGATATTTCGATGATGACAGGCTTTGTTTGAGACAGTTTCAGATCACTATTTTTTCATTATTTTTGATATATTTTTTACTAAAAAATAGTTTACAAAATAGTGAAAAAGTCATCCCAAATGAAGCCTAAGACGATTACCCACTATTGCAAAATTTAATACAATTTTAATATAAAATGATTGTAAGATAATTACATGATAAATCCAAATAAAAAACAAAAAGATCTGGAGAAGTATGATATTTTAAACTTGATCGCAAGCGATTGAAATGACGAACGCTACTTGTTTGATTAAACTTGATGTCAAGAGATTTAATGCAATAAAATAATAATTAAACTTGAAATAAAATAAAAATATTAAATCTAATAATTATATGATTACTTGAATTTTTCAAGAATTTTTAAAAATAGTAAATGAACTTGAAAAATTTGTGATTATTTATGTAGGAATATAGACGTTCTAGTAATAATTTATTAGAAATAATAAAAAAAAATTGAAAGTCTAAATCCACTAAAAAATTCAAAAGATATAAGCTAATTATTCTTAATTAATATAATTAAATATGAATAACACTAAATAAAAAAAAATTAATAATAAAACAATTAAGTTTTAAGTTCAAATAAACTTTCTAATAATATGACTAATCAATTTCAAGAAAAAATAAATTAATAGCACAAAACAACTATCACCATTATGACAAATTATCTCACTAAGGATCTGTTTAGGACAATTTTCTCATAGTTTTGTTTTTCATATAGTAATTACAATCTTGTTCGGTTATTATTTTTTCACCGTATTTCAAAAAATTTCTTTAATGAAAAGCTGCTTTTTACAACTAGAATCACATCAACCGCCCTTTTTATCGCCGACTTATGCAAGCTTCATGGAATGCCAAAAAGAACTGCCTCTTATTATGATCATGTCTTCGTAAGAAAATTTTTGCAGCAACTATTCGATGCCTTCGACACCAAGTTGTCTTATAGCTGAACACTCCAACCAAAACTAGATGAACAAATGAAAGTATTGAACAATGGGCTTGAGCAATATCTATGATGCTTTGTGATGGATATATCAAATATATTGGTTAAGGCTTCACTTGAGACATATTTTTTTATTGTTTTTTAAATCATTTTTTTTGTATAAAAATTTTTTAGTTCAAAAAGTTTTTTTTATTAAAAAGCTTCTTTAGAAAATAGTAAGAAAGTTGTCTTAAATGAAGCCCAAATATATATTACTGAATGAGTACTGCAACAAATTATGGTATCATATCATTTCAAATTTATATGGGAAAATTCAAAAACTTTGCACCCTCATGTAGGTCAAGATTGGAGTGTAAGTTAGTCATGCCAAATCGAGCTTGATTTAATACATGACTCTTGAGCCAAGCTCGATGAGTTGATAAGTCAAGCTTGAGCCAGCCCTGACCTGACTCATTAGCTTGTGTGTTGACTTGTTTAAAAAATATTAATATAAAATATACATAAAGTATATTAACATTTATGATTTAACTACAATGTTCTTAAAAATGTTAAAAATTATATCGCACTTTTTTATATTAAATACTTATTTACCATTTTCTTATAATTTTTTATTCTTTTTACTATTTTGTTATGGTAGTTACTTGAATCATAATCATTTTTCTTTCTTTCATAATAAATGAGTTGGCTCGAATTCGTAGAATAAAGCTCTAGCTCGAGCTTAAACTTAATTTAACAATAAGGCTCAAGCCCAAGTCAGAGGGGACTCGAGCTCGACTGATTTAATTGATGACTTATGACGATGACATTATTGAAATAACAAAACACACCCTTATACTACAAGTTGCAATGCCTCATTCTCAACAACATATGAAACACGAAGAGCCAAAGCTATGGCAAGATGTAGAACTCACATTGGGTGGGCTTGCTTTTTAAATGTTTACAAGAGCAAGATTTTGTTTGGCTCAGTTTTTTTACTGCTTTGGAAAGCTGCAGTGGAAAATATAATTTCTTATAATTGTTATAAAAAATAATTTTTTAGTAAATATAATTTTTTTAAATACGATGAAAAATAATAGTTAATCTGAAAGAAAAATAAAAAAAAAAACTATCCCAAATAATACCTAAGTGGAGATGTCATTTTCTAGTTAGTTAGCTTTTCCAAGCCTATGTTTTTGGTTGGTTCTAGAAGATCTAAAGAATGAAATAGGCTGTGTTTTTGGGTCCCAATAGAGCATTAAATAGAACCTACTATGTGAAGCGAGGAAGGAAAGTTTAAGTGGTGCAAAATGAGAAATTATGCTGAGGTTAAACAAATAAAGGCTTTAATATTTGTCATTTCATCAATTTTGAAGGTGAAATATTGCTCCTTTTTTAAAATATATAAATCCATCAATGGAAAGCAAGAAGATAGAGAAGTCAGCACTGAGGCACTACTGGTACAATATTGTAGTGCTGCGAGTAGGGCTTTGTAGATTAATGATACATGAAGTGAATAGGAATAATGTAAGAGTGTGAGAAGATAGATTCATATAATTTCTCTTATTTTCATAGTTGATTTCTTAGGCTTCATTTGAGACAGCTTTCTCACTGCTTCTAGCATTCTAGTACAAAAATTTTCTGTTTTATGCTAAAAAACTGCTTTAAGAAGCAAAAAGAAAGTCATCCCAAATGAAGCCTTAGGCTTCGTTTGGGACGGCTTTTTTACTGCTTTCTAAAACGGAGTTTTAGTACAAATTTTTTTATTTTTGTACTAAAACTCCATTTTAGAAAGCAATAAAAAAGCCGTCCCAAATAGGCTTCATTTGAGATAGCTTTCTCACTGCTTCTAGCATTCTAGTACAAAAATTATCTGTTTTATACTAAAAAACTGCTTTAAGAAGCAAAAAGAAAGTCATCCCAAATGAAGCCTTAGTGTGATTTAGTTCCTTGATTTTTTTTTTTCTGATTTTAGTTTTTCTCATCAAATTTTGGTCATTTTTCTACTGTTTTTTCTATTTTCTTATTTATTTCTCGTTGAGTGTTTTTTTTTCCAACACAAAATAAGAAATTATGGTAGGTTAAACATATAAAGGCTTTTTAATATTTATATAATTTTAATTATTGAGACTGTGCTCCATGGACAGCCATGAAGCCATGAAAATTACAAGTTAATAATAAAAATATAAATCACAGGCTTATCTCTTTATTTTCCCCAAATTCCCAAGAAAAAAAAATAAGAAAAACAAAATTACAGCTTCATAAGAAAAAATAAAAATAAAAACCACCCTGCAATTAAAGCCGACTCCCCACCTAGACTAACTACTCTTCTCTGCCTAGCCTGAAGACGACGGCGGAAACTCGTCGGAATCCTCCCATTTCGTAGCCGGAAAACTCGTCCCCCAAATCCCGGACTGCCCCAAATACCCCATCCTCTGCTGCTCTCCTCCTCCCAATCCATAAAACGTATTCAAAACAGAGGAAGACGATGTTGAAGACGACGACGACGTTGAAGAAGAAGAAAGAGGGGAAGCTGAATTCAAAATATTCTCATTATTAAGCAAGTTAGCATATTGTCCCTCTCCTCTCAACAATCTTGAATACTCCAAATAATCCCTCGACGCACTGGAAACAGGGGAGCCAAGAAACTGGCCGCTTGAAACTATCTCCGGCGGCTGGAGACGCGCGTTTTCCGGGAAGTTGAGCTTCGCACGGCTGCCACGAAAGCGAAGAGCTGCTTCATCGTAAGCTCGTGCGGCGGATTCGGCAGTATCGAAGGTTCCAAGCCAAACGCGAGCAGCTTTATGCGGGTCGCGGATTTCCGCCGCCCATTTTCCCCATGGGCGCTGCCGTACTCCCCTGTATCGCCGGCGAGGTTGGTTTTCAGTTTCTACTTGGGAAGGAGTTGTTTCTTCCATTGACGGAGCTTGCGAGGAGGATGCGGAGTGAGAGATGGAGGCTGGTGCTGTAATTGATGGAAGACTATTTGTTAAAGATTCAATTTTTGAGCGTTTGATTCTTGAAAAAAACGATTTTGAAATGCAAGTCATGCAAAAAAGAAGTCCCGATAATGAGAAATGCACGTTCAAATATTCTGAGAAAAAAATTATTTTTTATGTGTAAAAATCATTATTAAAATTTTTATTTCTTTGTCTTATTGAAGGAAAGAAAGATAGGATTTTGGCATTCTCATAATATCAGAGTCTATTGAAGACAAAAAAAAAAGCTCTCTTTTTTGTTTACTGTGCTGCTTGCAGACATGAAATAAAGAAGTTTGTTGAAGATATAATGAATAAAAATTATTTAAAATATAAGCTAAGTTTAAGCTTATCATAAAATAATTATTAGAAAAATTATTAATTATTAATTTTCTATTCTATTGTAATATCTTAAAAAAATCATTTTGCACTATCTCAGAATAGAGGTTATTAATAAGATGACCATTGCTTATAAATATGTTTATGCATTTAGAAATATATATATCTAAGTATTAATAAATCTAATATCTTCATATCTATATATTTTTTATTTTTTAAATCTTTGATTCTCAAACAATATAGATTCAAAGTGAAGTAATCATAAACAGATTAAGAATCTGTTTGAGATAAATTTAAAACAGATTAAGAGTCTGATTGAGATAATTTCTTACTGTTTTATTTTTCAGTTTATAACTATATTTCTTTATGAGTATTTTGAAGAAATTTTTGTATTAAAAAGTTATTTTTTTACATTAACTTCTAAAAATTTATTTATTTTTTCATAATAATTTTATAACTATTTTTAAAAAAATTATAGCCTTCCCCAATATATCCTAAAATGACTTCATTAATAAAACCATGTAGCCATGAAACATCTGTTGCTCGTTGATATTACAATAACAGTACTGTACTATCAAAATGAAGAACATTGCTACAAACAAAAATAACAAAAATGAAAAATATAATGATCGTTACCTCCAGAATAGTATCCTATCACTGACTCCTCGTCTCTCTCTCTCTTCACTCCGCCACCGCCAACACCCGCACCAAACATAGAATGCGGGGATAACAGAGAAGCATTATACAAAGAAGACGGTGGTGCTGACGCTGAACCAGCAGAATCCAAATAGCCACCGGTCATAGCCGGCTCTTCGCCGGAGACAACTCGTGTTAAAGCCGAAACCATCGCAGACATCTCTTCCGCCCTCCACCGACCCGAGAACATTGTTGCTGCTGTCGCCAACTCTTCCTCCTCCCCTTCCCTCGCCGGCGAAAATTCCGGTGGATTCGCCACTTTAAAGCACATTAATAAGAGGATAAGCCGAATTAATAACGTAAAATAACTGTTTCCAATTATCTGAATTTGTCTCAATATTTGAAACTTTTTCAAGAAAGAGAAGAGTGGGGATGGCTTTTATAGAAGAAGAAGATGAGTGGCAAAGGCCAATGCCAACGTGAAGGTCACTAGCCACCTATGCATGTTTTTTTATTTAAATAAATAATTGAAAAAGAAAACTATGTAAATTTTGAAAATTTATATAAATTTAGGAAATTTGAAGCTTTTCTAACATATTTTTTTAGAATGATTCATAGATTTTTATTTTTTATTTGATTGTGAAATGTGAACAGATGGAAAGAGAGAGAAGCACTTAAGGTGTTCACACATTTGAGGTTTGACCGTTGGTTGGTAAGGGGGATGGATTTGGATTTGGGTGAGGTGGTGGAGGAGAATTTGAAATGGAGTTGACAATGGTTGATTTGGCTAATGAGTAGGACGATGGTATCAATTCTGGTCCATCAATTTTAATAGATGGCGTGATTTTTGATGAGCAGTGGAGCCTATCAAACCGCCCCATGCGACAATCAAGATGAGAAAGAGAATTTTGTTCGACAGGGCAAAATGTGGTGTACAAGATGGTCTAATCCAAATAAATAGGGCTGCAAGTGAACCAAATGTTCGACGGGCTACTCGTTGTTCGGTTCGATTAAAACTCGTTTGTGATCGTTTAATTAACTAAACAAACAAACTTGAACAATATTTTAAATACCCGATTCTTAAATAAACAAACTTGAACACTAATGCGTTCAGCTCATTTATGTCCGCGAACAATATCATTTGAAGTTCGTTAACAAGCTCGACATTAAGCTCGATAAGAAGCTCGATAAAAGCTTGATTCGTGTTCGATTTTGAACTCGTGAATAAGCTCGATAAAAAATAATTAATATTTGACTATAAAATTAATAAATATAAATAATAATTGCCTTTGTTACATAGGCAATTGCTTTTATTATAAATATGTTTGTTCATAGATATGTTCATGAACGTGTTTGTTTGATAGTTAAAAAAAAATTCGTTAATTAATATGTTCGCGAACAAGCTCGATAAGCACTAAACGAACGAATATGAACCGAACATGAACACTCATAAATTTAAATGAATCAAACATGAACACAAACAATAAAGCTCGAACAAACATGAACAAAACTTAAACAAGCTGACATTATATGAGCACAAACATACTCGGCTCGGCTCAGTTCGTTTGCAGCCCTACAAATAAAGATTAAATATATTTTTAAAGCAAATTTTATTCAATAAATAAAGAGTGATACAACAACAATCGACTAAAGACCAATAGCTCGAGATACAATCAGTAAAAAGATAAAAAGCCAAACAAAGGACGAGAAGTAGCATAGGGACTCAGGTATGGAGGCCCCCCACACCAGCCTCGTAGTCAAACATGTATCATCCATAGGTGTTAGTAGAACGATCACCGTTTCGAATCCACCAAGCAACAAAATGAGGCACCCAGGTTGCCAACCAGCCCAGCCAACCAGGGGAAGCAGGGGGCCCCCTCATCATCGTCCAGCCACATTGAAAAACCAACGACGAAATAGTCAAAAGCAAAAACCTCAACCTATTTCTTTTTGCCTTTGTTTTTATGCTTCTTTCCACCTACATAAGAATAGTCATGATCGATAGAGTATTCGATTATATCCTCCTCAAATTTCTGTAGATTCATTTCTTCCCAGCCAAAAGGGTAGTCTTCCAAAATTAACCAATCAGTTTGAAACAAAACAGAGTTTTTCCTTGACTTTGTCATATGGGCTTTCATTTCAACATTAGACATAACAGATAGAGGGGTATTAACAAAATTGTCATTGCCCTCAAAACCATCCTTAGGAGTTAAAACCGATTGCTCATTAACCTGCATAATCGAAGCTAGATTAATAGAGGAAGCGATAATATCCGGACTCTCGGTAACTATCAGAGATAATTCCACACAACGACTAGGAGGAACAGGAGAGCTAGAAGGCTCAGCGCCCACACAATGCATATTTTCCACAGCAAAACTACACGGGGCAGACAAACCCACACAAGATAAAGAAGTTTTAGAATTAAAACCACATTTCAAAATACCAGGCTCACTCAAACACAACCAAGGAACCTGGGCTACAGGAACCACTCCCTCCAAAACTACAACAAAGTCCAATTAGACTACATTAGAAAGAGAATTAACAGGACTATCCCCCTCACAAACCACGATATTCTCAACCAGAATAGGAAAGATAATATCAGAAGAAACAAAAGCAGGAATAATAGATGGCTCAAGTAAACCATTCACAGCAGACTCAATACCAATAATTTTGGCCGGACCCACTAGGACAGATGGGATTGCCACAGGGCCACCAACCCCCAACGAATTAGAATGAGGAAGCAAGATAGATAAATCAAGATTAGGGTGAAGAATCCTACACCCAACCTTCGAATGCCCCAAAACTAGGCAGTGCACACAATACTTAGGAAATTCTTCATACACCACATATTGAACAAACCTAATGCTATCCTATCCTATCCATATTTTGTCCGGATACTATTTGGACACATCCGGTTAAACCAAAATGCGCGCAACAGACGGACGTGAACCGGTGCATATCACATTATCCATTTTCAATGGTTTGCAAAAAATCGAGCCTAAGCCACGAAGAATATGCGAGGCAAACAAGTGAGGTCGTAGGTTAGGGAAGGAAATCCAGATAGGTATAACTGGGGATTCAATCTCAATATCTAAGGTAGGTGACCATTTTATCAATTTCATATACCAATTAATCACAAAATACGACCTATGAGCAAAGACCCTATAGTAATCCAAATCATCAAAGAGCTTAATCAACATGTTACGCTGGTTCAGGACAGTGACAAAGACATCACCATTTAGCTTAAGCTTGAAAAAGAAACTACTAATTGCATCATGGGATGGTCTAAGCCCAGGGAATTTTCCAACCAGAACAAATTCAAACGGAGCAGCCAACGACTGAATTTTCACCTCCGAAATCCAAAAGAGTAGGAAAACCTCTATGAGAAGAAACCTTAAGTTTGGGAAAGACAGTAAAAGAAGATGAAGAACCAAAAAGAGCATCCTTAAATGAAAGAGAGGAGGATCCAACCAAAAAATCAGGATCCCGAAAATGAGGAGGCACCATAAAACCAACAAGAAAAGGAAAACAACAGTGAAAAGCAAAACAACAAGGAGAAAAAACTTCTCTGAAGCCCTCGAGGAGAAGCACCCAACACAGAGCAGCTAAAAGGGGCGGCTAGGGCGATGCCCTAACACACCCTAGAGAGCGAGAGAGAAACATCGTGCATATTAAGTAAAGATTAAATATTGTTAAGACAATTAGATAGAGTTAGGGCATTAAATTGACAAACCCCGATTTAAAATTGATTTGAAGTTGTTTGATCTGATGTCGAGCTAAGGAAAATTTGTCAATAGAGTAGCTTGATTTAGGGGTGTAAGTGAGCCGAGCTAGATTTTGAGATGGCTCGAGCTTGACTCATTTATAGGCTCGTGAGCCAAGCTTATCGAGCTCACGAGTCGAGTTCGAGCTCAAACTCGAGCTCGTTTATTAAACTAGCTTGAGTTCAAGGTTGATTAAGGCTCAACTTGGTAGCTCACGAACTAGCCCGATTATTTAAAAAATACTTTCTATTTTATTAATACTAAATATTGTTAATGTTCTTGCCTAATCCCACCTAAAATTAATACTAAATGTTTAATCTTTTGTCCTAATCCCGCTCGAATTAGAGGAGAACAGCACCTGAGGCGTTCATGTGGCTCGAGAGTCAAGGAGGTCGTGTTACGCATGATACGTGTTGATGGGACAACTGATGAGAGCAGATGTTCTTGGGACGGACACTCAAATAGCTCGCGAGGAGGAGGAATGAGCTCACGGTCGGGTTGGTCGAGGCTGCATCTATTGGTTGAACGGCGCCTATAGGGTTGACAACACGGTATGAACTTCGGTGCGTGATTGCCTGACAAAATGACATGCTTGAACGTGGATGACACGGACGACCACCGAGGCTCGCGAGTCGACTCGAGCTTGTTTATAGTGGAAAGATCTCGAGTTTGAGCTCGCTTCTTGACTGACGAGCTGAGCTCGATAGTGCCAAAACTCGACTCCACTCGACTCATTTACACCCCTAGCATGATTCAATCTTCATTCAGATCAAATTAATGACACGATCAAGAAAGTAATTCAATTGATATTAATTAATATTTTCCAATAATAAATATCGAATTATTGTGCAAAAACATCCTCACCCTCTGTTAAGTACTTTTGGATGTTAAATATGTAGCTTCAATTCCTTCATATTAAGGAATTAGTAGAAGCATAACATTATCCTCCAATTTTCTTTTACAACCTTAAAAAATCTGCATGGCTAACCCACAAATTGAGAAACCTTAATGGCTTAAGATTGGATATGAAATTAGTCCACAAATATATACTTTCGTATTTGTGTTTAGGCTAAATATTGTAATTATGAATATGTAATTGGTATACACCAAAGTATTTCAAAACCCGATTCAAGCTAAATCGGACTAGCTTAATAGATTTTCTAGGTTGAAGATGAGCACACTAAGTTGTGGATGAATTCATCCAAACAACTTGAAATTTGTAATAATCAAGTTAGTATGTAACTTTGTTAGTAAGTTGATGACTTGCTAGCAAAATGGTGACTTCATCGGTAAGTCGACGACCATACTAGCTAGTCAACAATCAATGTAGTGAATACACTTAAGTAAGTAACTAGCCCTTAATTGATTCATCGACCAAGCCAAAATCTCATATGGGATAGACTCGGATTTTGTTTGGGACAACTATTTTACTAATTTCCTTTTCAGATCACAACCAAAAGTTTTATTTGGCCATTGCTTTTTTGTTGCTTTCAAAAAATATTTGTACTAGGAAGTTACTTTATACTTTAAAAAACTATCTTATCTACAATAATTTTACAAAGTAGTAAGAAAGCCGTATCAAACGAAGCCTCATTCTCATTTTTGGCTATAAGCATCATGTATTTTAT